ACCATTTAACATCCCTCCCTTGTAGGCCCACTTAGAAGCTCAGTATCCTTTCGTTAAAGGTCAGTTTCTGACCGCAGAGCCGCTCCTGGAGAGTTTAGGTTGGTTGTCCACAGCAACAGGCAAGAGTTTGTAACTGTAAACCTACAAAGTGCACCGATGTGGTAGGTGTTTCTGATAAAACGGCCAATGAGGGTAGGTGGGTCAATGACAAATAAGGCCTGCAAAATGATAACTGAATACATTTTTGTATTTGCAAAAATCTTTCATGTGTTAAAATTTATTTTTCATAGCTTTTATTACAGAATTCCTTTGTAAACAGGACCAATTTTACCACTAAGGAAATGTCAAGTGGTGCAACCACACAATAATTAATTTATTAAGAAAATGGAGAATTAATAAGCATTATTATAATAAAAACACGTGTTCAGGGTTTTCCTGGGGTCGCACCAGCTGACTTGTTAAACTGGAGGCTGAAAACATTTTTAAAAATGTTCAATATTTGTAAAGGGGCTACTTTGGCATTGAAGGTCACTAGGGGTCTTTTTTTATGGTGCAATACCCTGCTCATACTTTATTAAAAGCATGTCAGAATAAAAGTCCTTTGTTTTCGGTTGTGCTGTGTGAAATTTGAGTTGAATACTTTTAAAGCGGCCCTATTTTGCAAACATAAAATAATGGCTAAACTAAACTAAACTAAAAATTTGATGACTAAATTAGGCTTTAGAACAGTTTGCTTAACCTGCAAATATGGTTGGATGGTCGCACCACATGACATTTTTAGACTTTGGGATGCCTAAAACGAATTTTATTCTAATGCACTGAAAATGTATTCATGAAAAGAAGGCATTTCAGAGTACTATGATATATGTTATGTATTTATTAAAGTATTTAATAGCAAAATAATGGGCTTGGGCACTAAAAATGCTAAAAAAAAAAAAGGTTGTTAACCCAAATACAAGGTAGCTGGCAACTCAGTGTGGTGTTTAATTGGGCAGCACTGGCCTCTAGGTGTGCTCGCTGTAAGGAAATTGATGGAAAGTATCCGCCTCCCAAACTCTGCTCTGAGATCAGTTTTCCTGACCTTATTGATAATATGATAAGCTGAAGGAGGATAGAAGTTTTGGCTCTGGGCCAGCGCTCGGAAGCAGGTGCTCTGCCTGCCGGAGTAATGAAATGCTACGCAAAGACATTTCCATTCAAACCTAAAGTCTCCTGAGGACCTATTGTTGAGCCGAGGCCTTTTTGGCATGGTGCCACTGCTTAAAACGATTGAAACATGGAAAGAAAACATGGGTTTTTTTTCAGTAGGGGAAAAAACTGTACAACAGCAGATACCAGTGGAAACAAGTGCATTTGAATGCTTTAGGCATTCTACTCACAGTGCGCGGAAAAGTGTAGATAAAGAATGTGTCCATTTGCATTCATGATCATGTATGTATGAACACAAATATGCACAAAAAAGCAGCAAAAAAAAAGCGTACACGCACAGGGAGCGCATACACTTCCCTGCAAACACACACAGCTTGCCTTAAGCTCCTGAAGACACACACTCACCCCAGCGCCGACAGTTTGTCTGGCTCGGAGGTGAAGGTGCATCTGCAGGAATAAACAATATAATGTATTTTACAAACCCCAATTCCACATTAGGACAGTGTGAGAAAACAGTTATAAATCCACTTTAACATGTATTTTAACAAAAACAATACAAAGACAAGATATTTAATGTTTCACCTGATCAAATTCACTGTTTTTTTGTAAATATATGCTCATTCTGAAAAGGATGCCTGCAGCATGTTGCGAAAGCAACTTAAACAGGTGATGCAATCATGCTAGTCCTTTATGAGCGAGGATTGGTTGAGGTTCACCAAAAAATGCACCAGAGAATAATCATCACAGTTTAAGAATAACATACATAAGCATCTGAGATATTTCACCCTCTAGAGCGCATAATATGGTTATAAGATTTAGAGAATTTAGAGAAATCTCTGTGGGGCTGAATGGGTGGGGCTAAACCGCACTGCTGTAGGGTGAATGGGTGGGGCTAAACCACACTGCTGTTGGCTGAATGGGTGGGGCTAAACTGCACTGCTGCCGGCTAAATGGGTGGGGCTAAATCACACTGCTGTAGGCTAAATATGTGGGGCTAAATCACACTGCTGTAGGCTAAATGGGTCGGGCTAAACCACACTGCTGTCGGCTAAATGGGTGGGGCTAAACTGCACTGCTGTCGGCTAAATGGGTGGGGCTAAACTGCATTGCTGTAGGCTGAATGATCAGGGCTAAACATCACTGCTGTGGGTTGAAGGGGCGGGGCTAAATTACTGTGGGCTGAACGGGCAGTTTCCATTTACGGACCGTTTGGAATGGAGAGTGAATGGTTTTAAAATTTTGGTAATGTTTACGTAGCGTATCAAACTTGGTTTCCATGACAAAAGATCTTTGATTTCTCAGCGCAGTGGAAGCTCCAGATTGTCTGTTCTAGGCACAAGTTCTCCTTGCCAATGGCTCTGCGAATAACAAAATAGCAAAATCCAAAACAAATGAAACCAGATGGGAAAAATCAATTAAGACTTTAATTTTTTTGTTTTCAAAGTTTACGACAAATAGTTGTCACATTGGATCATTTACTCAATAAATAGACAGATAAATTTGATTAAAATGATAAGCGAGTCTTCGATCCTTCAGACGGCACTGCATTAAAAACCGACAGGTTTCTGTGATGGATGTCACCCCGTGGGCTCGGGAATTCTTTGACAAACTGTTGTCAGATTCCATAAATGCAAGTTAAGACTGTACTCTGCACAGCTGAGGTCATTTCTCGACAACATTCTGAAACACTGCCAAGCTTAAGCTCGTCTGAAACGGACTGATGCACAATGGAAACGTGTCCTGTGGTCTGATGAGTCAAACTTTCAGAATGTTGAGGGAAATAATGGACTTCATGACCATCCAGACTGTTACCAGCATAAAGTTCAAAAGTCAGGGTCTATTGTATATTCACATCTGTGAAGGCACCATTAAAGCTGAAAGATATATACACATTTTGGAGCAACATGCTGCCTTCTAGACAACGTCTTTTTCAGGGATGTCCATACATAATCACCTGCTTGTCTCTTACTGAAAACATGTAGCGCATTATGAAGTGCAAATTACGATAACAAAGGCACTGTGTGGCTGCGCAGCTAAAGAAACTTGCATGATGGACGAATGGCAAAAAATTCTACTTTAGAAACTGGATCAGTTGGTGTCTTTAGGCACCCAACAACTATTAGGGGCTGTTGGAAAGGTGATGTAACACAGTAGTAAACAACTGTCCCAGCTTTTGTGGAACATGTTGCAGGCATTAAATTTGAAATGAGCATATTTTTACAAAAAAAAACATTAAATTTAATTCAAAACAAACATCAAATATGATGTTTCTGTGTCATTTTTAATATAATACAGGTCAAACAGAATTTTCTAATCACTGCTTTCTATTTTTATCACTGTCTCTGCTTATTTTTTTGGAAAAAAAGGCTTGTACGTAGGAAGACCGATTATGTTTAGAGTATGTGTGCACATGCAAATGTGTGTGAAATGCCTTTTTGAAGAAGGAGTCACCAAATCATCTCTTTCTCACTCTCTCTATCGTTCTTTCTCTCTCTCTCCCGACGTTGCGTAGAGCAGAGAGTCTGTTTGGTCACATCAGTGGACAGAGATGGATGGGTGTGAAAGGAAAGGATGGATGAAAGAATGAAGAGGGGGAAGGGGGGGTGTCACCTCTCCAGGGAGACGCCATCTGAAAAGTGGGTAATTACCCATCAAGCGTCCAATTACAAACACACACATGCACGGGCGCGTACACAACCCCTCACGGTTTGAAATATTCGTCTGAACCTGAAAGAACCCGACCAGTCATGTTTGAGGTTCGGTCCGGTTCTCTAATGTATATCAGGCTCAAATTTAATTCAAGCTTTTATGAACTCAAAGTGACAATGTGGCCAAAAATGACTAATTTCACCGCTTTCCTTAAACGTAGTCGATCAGCTGAGACGTCTGGCGTCTTAAGTTTGCTTCTGTAGTTCTGCACTGGAGCTACGAGGCTAATGCAGCTAATAAGTAACATAACCTCATTAGCAATTAGTATTGGGTAAACTTTATGCCCGTATCATCACACATTTGCCTCAAACTGTGTCTATTTGTTAGCAGTGTTGCTAATACAGTTTCCGACAGTGTATGGCTCATTATACTAAATAGAACTTGTTAGTTTAGCTAAAAACAGCAGTAGCCATGTTTATGGATAAGAGTGTGATTCTGTATGACACAGTTTTCTATAAACATGGACTAAAATTCAAAAATACAAAACTACATAAACAAAAAGACGCTTTTTTTATTTAGCTTGATTCTGCTAGCAGTATCACGTTTGCTAGCTAATAGCAGTAGTTAAACTTCCTGCCTGTACATGTCACGAAGTTATGGTGCAGTTGTTGCTTAGCAACAGGGAGACATGCTCCCAGAAGACAGCAGATTGTATGATGCTAATAGAAAACTATTAGCTTTCATTATGTTAACTACATTACCCTTCAGCATAAAACTATAGAAACTAAAAAAGCCCCACGTTTGCTAGTTAATAGCAGTAGTTAAAGTTCCTGCCTATTATGATGTTACAATACTGTTGTTGCTTAGCAACACGGAGTCGTGCAGCCAGAACAATGCAGTTTATACGGTGCTAATAGCAGGCTATTAGCTTTCATTACGTTCGCTACATTAGCCTCCAGCATAAAACTATAGAAAAAGCCCCACGTTTGCTGGTTAGTAGCAGTAGATAAACTTCATCCTTGTAGATGTTACTAAGTTAGGATGCTTTTGTTGCTTAGCAACAGGGAGATAGGCAGCCAGAAGCATGCAGTTTGTACGATGCTAACAGCAGGCTACTAGCTTCTGCTGCATGTTAGTTACATTAGACTCCAGTGCAAAACTAAAGAAATTAAAGAAGCACCACGTTAGCTAGTTAACAGAAGTAGTTAAACTTCTGGCCTTTAGATGTTACAAAGTTAGGATGCTGTTGTTACTTAGCAACAGAGAGATGGGCAGCCAGAAGGGCCTGTATGATGCTAATAGCAATATGATGCTGATAGCAACATTACAGGGACAGTGCAAAACTGAAGCAAAAACTTTGTCCACCAAACGTATCTTGGCTGACTGACTACTTTAGGTCACTTGAGCTGAAGTCCACGAGCCCAGCGCATGTGCGAGATGGATGAAAGTGAGGGAAGTGAAAAGTTCAGACAGGACTTTTTAGGGCAGAGAATGTTCGGGGGGCGTATTTGGGCTCTCCTGTGCCCCTCACCACTGCTCCACCATCAGGTCGAGCACTCTGTTGATGTTCAGGTCCGAATCCAGGCCGAAGTCGCTCTCCAGGAACGGAGCGGCCGGCGGAGTGAGAGGCTGCATGCCGGAGCTCAGAGACTCCAGCCAGTCGGCGGGGTCAAAGGTCGGCGCGTTGGACCTCCTCTTCCTGGAGGGGGCACTCAGGGGCGGAGTGGTGCAGATGGGTGGAGGAGGAGGGGGGGCAGAGTTAGGGGCGCTGACCGGGGAGGGGGGGAAGCTCCAGCAGCAGTGAGGAGCACAGCGGAGACGCCGACAGCGCGCTGTCGTCTTTGGAGCTTCGCTGGGTGGGCTGGTCAGGCAGGGGGCTAGGAGACGAGTTCGGGGCGGCGGTGCTGGACGTCTGGATTTCCGTAATGTTGGGAACATTATCTGGAAAAATAGAACAGTGAAAGGAAATAACGTCAAGGTGTCTAGAATGTCTTTATAGCAGGGTTCTGCAAGAATGTGCATGCGTCTGGAATCTCATCAAAAATATATTTACTCTGCAACATCATATTGACAATCATGCCACAAACGTCATTTTGTGACAAACTGACCAATAGATGTTTTGAAAAGTAAGACTTTCAGGTTGTTTTTTTAGGTCCACACTAAAAGATGTTAAGATCATTTTTTTCTTCACTTAAAAAGTTATTGTTTCAAAGGTTACTCACAAGATTTTTTGCTCATTTTATTCTCTCTAATTTAGTCACCTGCTAGCTAGATCTCCCTCCATCTTTTCAAACTGCTGCTTACACATCACTGGACAGAAGAAGAATGCTAACTGCTAATTTCATTGCATCTGCTAACAGACGTCTGCATTGGCCAGCATCATGCTGAGCATTGGATGGAGATGGAGGGCCATCCTACCCTCCCAAAGAGAGAGAGAGGACAGTTATGCTCTGTTGGACTCCCACTTACGGATGGCTATGGCATCACCAGCGATCTCCTGACTCCTTAGTCTCCCAATAGCATGTTTATATTTTCCATATGGAGGGAGAAGAAAGTGCTTTTGACTCACCAGAACAACTAACAGGATCCTCCAAAATGTCATCTATGGACTCACTTGGGTCCATCTAATATAAACAGAAACATATAATTATGACGTGCTTGTTTTACCCTAAACACCACTCAAAGAGCTGATGTCGGGGACATTTACTCTCTAAAACCCTCCTTCTCTCTCCCTTCCTGACACATACCTGTACTTTTTGAATGGCCTCCTGCAGGAGCTCCTCCAGGCTGCGGTCCGCGGGGGGGGAGGCTTGCACTGGGCTTGCTGTGATTTGGACAGGGAGCTCAAAATCCTGGCCAATAGAATCACACGGCTGACAGGAGAACACCTGCTGATACAGCGAACAGAGCAAGAGAGGGGAGCTTTCTCTGTTTAAGTGCTCTCTCAGACGTCTAAAGAGAATACTTTACAGTATATGTATGAACTAGAGGTGTAAAAAGCAGTGTGTCAATCTGAAAGAGCTGATTCAGCTGCAAATTTAAAAATTGATAGATTGTTTTGTTTTTATTAAAATGTGAAACTTAACATGCTGAGAACTGGTGTATTTTTTACTGTTAATTCAGTGGTGAATATTAGAGTTAGGCCTTTAGTTTAGGGCCATAATGACAAATCTAGCAAAAACCCACCTCCATTATAATGCTAATTTCTGCTAGCGCCTTTGTGGAATTTCTGATATTATGTTAGCGCCAAGCTAATGCTGGTGCACATGAACAATTTTTGGCCGTTTTAGATTAAACACAGATATTTGAAGCTTGTAAAAGACATGTTTTATTTGCTGCAGCTGCTGTTTTCCGTTCATAACAACTAACCCAAGCCTGGTTTTCTGACCAATGGGTGAGCTCGCTAGGCTACGTCTACCTAGATACTACAGGAAAAAAACATCCTGATTGGATCATTTTCCATTCAGTTTAGTTCTGAAATACTCAAATGTGTGCTTGGACGGCTTCCGTTCGTAAGCACGACAATGTTTCTGGAAACAAAAGTGTTTTCTACATACAGCGGTTTATACTGACCTGTGTGAAGAGCACTTCCTGTCCGTCTGTGTCTGGTTTCCCTCTGGAGCATCCCGGGTCCTGTTGCAGGAAGGGATGTAGGGAACCTCCACATGGCTGAAAGACGTACAAACAAAATGAAAGACGAGTAAACACCCACAGGATTAACTATTAGATAGATGGATAGATAGACAGACAGATAGACAGACAGATAGATAGATAGATAGATAGATAGATAGATAGATAGATAGATAGATAGCAGCATTTTCCATACAGCTAAAGTGTCTCGGTAGTTGGCTGAATTATAAAAATGTTGCTTTTTAATGTGGAAAGCACAAAAGCATGGACTTGAAAACCGCTTGCAGCCTTAAGTTTCTCCAGCAGGGAGCGCTATTAGTATACAATTCACTATAGATCTGCACCAGAAGAAGCTCATGAATGCACGTGCTTACAGTAACATTTATTATGGTGACAGATGTGGCTTTCTAAGAGATGTTCTGTTACTCAGTATTATATTATTATATATCATTTAATTAGTATTATATTATTTAATAGGTGGTTTCAATAAAGATTTTCTTTAAAACAGTTAATGTTAAAAAACGAATATTCACAAATAATGCCTATCATCCAGGCATACTAGCTAGTTTGCTCGCTAGTATTTACCGAGACAGAGCTAAGGAGAGTTTGTTCTGACGCTGATTGGTCACTTGACATCATTATCTTCCAACACAGTCCCGCCCAGCACCACAGGAACTTACCTTTGTGACTGTATCCAGCGCTTTCTCTCTCGGTCTGCTCCGAATCCTCTCCCTCATCTTCAGCTCCACACTCAGCTCCTCCGCTGCCTGCTCTGACCTCCAGAGGGCGACGGAGGGCAGTGGAGGCGAGGGGGCCTGCAGGCTCGGGCTGGAGCCCGCAGAAGAAGCCGGGGAGGTCAGGTAAGCGACCCCAGTCAAGCCCTGCTCCACAAGTCCTGAAGACTGGATGTAGATGTGAGGAGGGCTGGTGGAAACATCCACGTTAGAGATGCTCAGACTGGGCGGCTGGGAAGGGTCCAGGGTCACCTCCATCTGGGAGAGAGGGGCGGGGGTTACCTGGGGGCGGGGCATCTGGTAGGGGCGGAGTCTCTCCAGCAGGGCGGGTTTGGTGCCGGAGACCGGAAGTCCACGTTTGCGCAGCTGCTGTCGGAGTTCAGACACCTGGAACAATGAGATGCATGAAAAACACTTGTGCTGGGTTCACATGTTCGCGTTGAAAAACTGCGTGAACCATTCTGCTACAGCGCCACCCTGAGGCAGAGCAGTGCTGCAGCTCTAGTTCAGAACACCAAAGACGGAAGCTGATTGTGGGTGAAGCAGATAAACATTGAGCTTCACTGAATCTGGATTTGAGCGTCTATTTTTCCCTAACAGACAGCAAAACATCATAATGAGTTCATTTTCAGGGACCCCTCAGAATTTTGATTTTAAGACATTCAGGGGGTCCTAGAGGTTATTTAGGGAGTCCCGGACCCCCGAGGACCCCTTGTATTTCACAACTGGGTTACCGGTGAAAATAGATGGTCATTAGAGGGGAGCTTTAGCAGTGTAGACTGTTTATTTAAGGTGGAAAAAGGATCTGCACTCTTTCTATTTTTATTGTATAATAATGTACGCTGTGATGGACTGGCGGCCTGTCCAGGGTGTTTCCTGCCTTTCGACCAATGACTGCTGGGATAGGCCCCAGCACCATCCGCGATCCAAAAGATAAGTGGCTTAGATAGTGTGTGTGTGTGTATATAATATTGGGTTTGTCTGGAATTCAACAACTCCCTCAAAAAATGAACATTTGGTTTATTCCACTGTTGTGGTCGAGGGCAAAAGATGGAAAAGCTGAACTCTTGATGGAAAGTTCCTCATACCGCTACGGTTTGCAGAACGTTGCCGTTGGTGGTGGCATAATTTTGCATTGCGGCTCCATTGAAAACAATGGAATATCCAGTTTGTCGTCATTCTTTTACCGCCAACATGTGAATGCAGCATCAACTTTGGAATATCTACTAAGCAGTTTCCAAATTTACCAACTTTACACCATTTTCCAAGGTTTGGTGTCTGAAGTTGTGTATGTTGTTTCGGACACTGTTTGACATACTGTTATCTTTAAAAATGGATAAAAATACAGTCGAAATTCAGTCTAGTACTAATTCATAGCTGCTGCTACTGTTTTAAATGATTGTATATCATACTTGTTAGCAATATTAGCCTTGTAGCTTCAGTGCAAAACTAAAGAAGCGACCTTGTCTCGGCTGATAGACGACATTTCGGGGAAAATGTGGTGTTTGAATCTCTTTAAGCAAAAACGCAATGAGAGTCTTACCGTTAAGTCATCAAGGTTTGGAGGAAGTAATTCCGGCTTGTGGGTGGGACTTGTTTCTCGGAGGGTGGGGTTTGTTGCCGGGGCAACAGGCTGAGGGCAGCTTTGCGGCACAGCTCCAGAAAAGCTCACTACTTGGTTCTCACTGCTGATTGGATACATAAAGTAGGTGTCAGGAAGTCCTCTTTGCTGATGCGTATGGATAAGCATATAGGTGGGTACATCTTTAGGTGTTAAATGTTCTGTGTTTCAAAATTCTGATTGGTATATATATTATGATTGGTTTCATCTAGTCAAGGGTTCTTTAGTAAAGAAAATGGTTCTATATAAAACCTTAAACCCTAAAGAACATGGACATGGTTCATGGTTATAACAACAAAAAGGGTTCTGCTATTGCTACAATGTCAAGCTTGTATCAATAGAAGAACCCTTTTTTGGTGCTATATAGAACCGTTTTCAAAAAAAGGTTCTATATAGGACCATCTACAGCACATTATCCATCAATCTGAAAAAGCTTTTCACGATGCAAAGAACCTTTTAATCATGCAAAGGGTTCTTTGAGGGTTTAAGGTTTTATACAGAACCATTTTCTTTACTAAAGAACCTTTGAAGAAACATAATTTTTAAGTGTGTATATTTAAAGTGGTCTGTAATGGGTTTTGGAATGAAACCCTTTGATTTAAGCTGAATCTGTTGATACAGGATTTAGATGAATGTAAATGTAATAAATTACTTATCTATTCAACTACGCAATTATCATGAAATTTAAATAGTATAATCAAACTACATGAATAACTCCAGAATTTGAAGGGTTAATACGCCTTATAGTCCAATATGGTGGGTTCTCAGGGTTCTCTTGTGTTATTTGTTGATTTGTTACCTGGTTGCCACAGTGAGCTGTTGTTGCTGGTTGAGAATCTGCAGTTGCAGGAAGACCTGCTGCTGCTGTAGGAGGCGGGAGTAGGCGGGGTCGATAGGCTGAGCCTGACTGGCGCTGTTCTTTTGGGAATTACTCCCAGAACCGCCCCCTGAACCGCCCCTCTGGTCTGGGGGGATGTATTGGTGGTACTTCAGCTTCCTCATTTTAGGCTTACAGTCGCGTGTTTTGCGTGGCCGCGGGGGGCGGGGTGATGATAAAGACCCCCCCAGGGTGGAAAGATTGGGTGGGGTTGAGGGCTGAGTTGTCTGAGAGACAGAAAGGAATGAAGAAAAAGAGTAAAGAAAAAATCTTTACAGTTCAAAAAGAGAATCATTGTTAACTCTGTTGTTTACTGTAAAGTATGTAATATAAACAGAAACCATACATATAAAACCATAATTAAGTCTATGAGTTAATTTACAGGGTCAAGTCTTTTTATTTGTACAACAACAACAACAACAACAATAATAATAAAATTAGGAAAATATAGCCAATATAATGAAAATATTAATTCTATCAATTCTATCAAGTAACAAATAATAATTTCATTAAATATAATAATAATAATAATAATTATTATATAAAAAAGAAAAAAAATGCTGTAATCTACATTTAAAATAATAAAAAGCAAAGTAAAAAATTATATTAAAATACTTCATGAAATGACCCAAATTTTACACTTAATTTACGTGATTTACATTATTCACACCCATATATACACACATACATATATATATATATATATATATATATATATATATATATATATATATATATAAATTTTTTAACCCTAATGGAATTCCAGTGTTTACACACAGCAAATGCGTTCAGACCTCTGACCCCATCTCTAGTGTCTGTGTTTCTACCTTTGGCAGCAGTGGTGTTGTCTGAGAGGACATGTACATCCCCTTTGGGTCTCCCAGTCATTGCTATGGAGTTTGACCCCGCCACCGTCACGGCCACTGGCTGACCGACACCCTCTGCAGCTGGAAACAGCGCTAAGCTGCACTGCTGTTGGGAGAAATCATTACATCATAACATGAGGTTTACAGCTGTATTTGGATTTCAACTGTTATTGTAATCAATATACATGTTATTACTGAATAACGTGCAGGGCTTTTTCTGAGCACCATTTCAGGGACACCCAAACGGGACAATCGTATGATTTTGCATGCAAGAATGAAAAGAAAAAAAAGTAAAATATTATTTATATACAGAAAAAATATATACCTAAACCTCCAGCAGCTTCAATTGTATATAAACAATCATGTGCAAAAGTTTGAACACCTCAAATCAAATTCCATGTTTTGTTTTTCTAAGTACAAAGAAGTTAGCACAGTGTAACATACTGGGGAAAAAATCAAACATGAAATATAAAATGTGACATAATTTTTGCACTGACACACACGTTTTATTATTTCCTCTAGCTAGTTAAACAGAGATTGTGCATTAAAATGAGCGGAAGAGTGTTCTCTGTAGAACTTACTTTCACTTAGAAAATCAACAAAACTAAATAAATGTAAAGAAAATTAAATTAAAAAGTAAAATAATATATATATATATATATATATATATATATATATATATATACCTCATATATAATAGAAGCTGATGGGCAGCTGAACTTATCATCCATATTTTTCTAGCAATATCATGATGTCTTTTATCTTTATCTTTATGTATATATGTATATATGTGTATATGATTGTAAATTAAATTTCAAAAGTAAAAGAATAATTATAATTATATAATAATATAACAAAATAATAATAATAATAATAAAAATTAAGAAAAACATTATATATAAATTTTATAATAGAAGCCAATGGGCATCTGCAGCTGAGCTTATCGTCCATGGTAAAGGACTGTACGCTACAGATCTAGCAGAGGCAGATGAGGCTGAAAAACACTGGACTACATTATTTAACTGTGAAATACCTGAACATTGCTTGGACTGCAGCTGATGGGCGTGGCAACAGGTGACACATCACTCAGCGATTGGTCACTGCTCAGTCCAGGTGAGGAGGAGAAGCCGGGGGACTGGTGAATCCCGAGTTGCTCAGGAGACGCCGAAGAACATGAGGAGACATCATCTTCGAAGACATCTGAAGGTGAGGTGAAGGAAACAGCAGCTGAGAGAAGAGAAAGAGAAAAGGGTCAGGACTATTAGGGTCAGGTTTGAGGTTCAGACCAAGTTTTATTAATGAACTGTAGTGTAATATACTGTAATAATGCCCAAGACAATTGCATAATGTTTGCAATTTACAAACTGCTGAGTTGTTTTTTCTACCCAAATCTTGGGTTGAGCCAGTTTGGTTGTTGTGTTGGCTTGTTTTCACAGTGCTGGGTTAGTTTTAGGTCATTTTTGGGGAGCCCAGTTGCTGGATTAGTGACTGTGTCACAATAACAATCCTGCCAAAGGGGTAATTTACAAATCATAACAACACTGGTTAGAACAGAATCTGTGAAAAGAGGAATTCCATTGATTTTTCAAAATGTCTGCATAATTTATTGATTGAGATGTAAACAGAGAGATTCAGAGTGGTTTGGCGTGAAATGGTTCAGATCTCTTTACAGTGGTGGTGATAGGAACCAGGGGTCACCATGACTACAACACAAATATAGACATTTTATTTACTATCCAGAACCACCAGTGAACCTACACGAGTCTTCTGAGTTTATATGGAATTTAATAATGGTAAAATAGTAAAAAATCTGAAATAATTTTATTTTGGGGACTATTTTGCCTTAGAACACCCTTAATGTATCCCTTCATCAAGAATGGATCAAACAAATGCATGTTTTAGACCAAAATTTATCACAAATAAAACATAGTTTCAGACATCAGGCAGTGAATTCATAACCATTTCATGTAGGAACTTTCTGTGAGGGAGCTTTTAGAGGTGGACGTCTGGTTCCTATCACCACCACTGTGAACAGTTCTGACTCTGTAAGTTTCTCTAGAACAGAGCGTTTCACACCAAACCACTCTGTTTACATCTCAACCAGATCTCTTTACAGTGGTGGTGATAAGAAGATCGGACAGTAACCCAGTAACATGGTTCAAATGAACCCACTGCTGGGTCAAAGTAATCATATTTCATGGTGACTCTAATGACCCAGCGATGCTGGGTCAGTTTAATCCAGTATGTGTCATGTTATACAGTGACCCTGCACTGGATTATGGACACGACGAGGGTTTTAGCTACTTTCAAACTGCGATTGTCAGAGTGTTTCTGAATCTCCACCTGACACACCAAACAAGCCCAACTGAAAGTGTGAACGAGACACTGCATTTAATCGTGAGCCAGAAAGAAACATATAATTGAAAAGCTGCAAATGTACAAAAAGATCACCAAAAAGTGTAACCAGCAATCAAATTTACACAACCAAAGGCATGATGTCCAACAAAAATTTCAGGTTTTTCCTAATAATAATCAACAAAATTAACCGTATACAAACCAAACAATTTTTCTCCAATTTAAGCATTTCAGCAAGATCTGTACAGACATGACATTAGGGGTCCTTTGTTAAACTTCAGCAACACTTTAGCCTAAAAATTCTCATCAGTGACGCTGGCTCTGCGCAGTACTGTTAGTAATAGTCTATTACGAAAATGTTTTTTTTGCTTTAGCCAAGCCAGGGGTCACAGCACTAGATTTGTAGGTAATAATAAAATAATCCCCCTTTACAGTAAAATAAAGCTCTGCTGATCGTTCAACACAGTTTAACAATAAATGATCTTAAACTCTGGAGTTAATGGAGAACTGCTAATTCACCAGCCCAGTTAATGACCGCAGTCTATGATTCAGATTTTGCACGGATTGTCTGAAGCCTGTAGAAAAATTGTAGCGAAAATTATCACTATAGCTACAAAAAATCGTAGGCGCTACAGCCATTAGCTACATTTCATAAAACTGTAGCGGCTACAGCTATTAGCTACAAAAATTTGTAGTTAGCTACAAAAAGTAGTGCACTACTTAGCTACTCCCCCCTCCCTGGATACGACCCGTATTGGGTTCTTTTTAACCCAGCATTACTTTGAGTGTAAGTGTGTTTTATTCATCATTCTGCAGAGATTACTTCCAAGTAATTATTGTAAACATAACAAGTAGTAGAGCACCAGCATCACATTAGAACCATCATATAGATGTATCTGCATGATGCAAACCATCATGTGATGATAATCGTATGCTTTGGGCTTCATTAGTGATTAGTTGGAATAACTTATTGTATTGATTGATGTATTGATGTGCAACTGGATCCAAACCATGCCAGCATATGGATCCCCTCAGGGGTTCCAGCACTGAGACCTGTACTGTTCCCTTGGTGCACGCTGCACATGCACTCGCCCACTTATGGAGAATATGGTGAAAGATGACTCGTCTGAATATTCCATTTCAGTAAATGTGACCTCTCAGATGGTCATTCGTCTGTGAGGGGTTTGTGCACTGCAGGCCTACTGAAATATCCCTCTCTATGGAGTTGATGTTTTCGCTTACAGTCTGATCACAACCTGCACTGACATTCTCAGTCACCTGAGGAACAGCTGCTCTTACACATCAGACTAGTGCAAGAGCATAAGAGCATCACGCTCACTGAATGTGTGCTTTATACCACAGTTTCCAGGCCTGTTTACTGAGCCCTTTCCCACAGAACTAAATGTAGTTCAGTTTAATTACTGTTCCTATTGAAACACCAGCCAGTTGACTGAAGCTCCATCCGTGCCCCAATAATGAACCTTCATCCAAAGTCACTTAGATCTTTAGATCCAAAGTCAAGGTCAACCATACCTGCTCAGCATGTTCATACATGCCACAGAGCATGTATAATTATAATATAATATAATATATAATTGGTTAATTGTATCATGTCAGCTGCCTGGAAGCATCTGCACTCATTCCGTTCTTCCACTCATTTATGTATTTGTGTTTTTGAATGTGCTATTAGTTCCACTCACTGTTTTCCAAAGGCAGTATGTGTTTCTGGAGAAGCTCCAGCCGTCCCGGTCCTTTCTGAACCTTCTCGCTTGCATCATCGGCCAGACGAGCCTTCTTCTGCCTCTGAGCTGCGCCACAGGCCCTGTCTATGGAAAGGAGAGGGGGTGAGAACTCAATACTCTGGTCTGCTATACATATTCAGAGTGGTTTGATGTGAAATGGTTCACTGTAGAAAAACGTACTAGTCAGAATTGTTCACAATGGTGGTGATAGGAACCAGACGTCCACCTCTAAAAGCTCCCTCACAGAAAGTTATTACATGAAATAGTGATGAATACGCTGCCTGATGTCTGAGACACTGTTTTATGATTTTTGGCCTTAAACGTATTTATAAAATCCATTCATGGTCGAGGGATACATGCAGGATGTTCTAAGGCAAAATAGTCCCCAAAAAAACTATTTTGTCAGATTTATCACTATTTTCCATCATCAACATTCCATATAAACTCAGAAGACTCGTGTAGGTTCACTGGTGGTTTTGGATGGTAAATAAAATGTCAATATTTGTGTTGTAGTCATGGCGACCCCTGGTTCCTATCAACACCACTGTAAAGATATCTGAACCATTTCACACCAAACCACTCTGAATCACTCTGTTTACATCTCAAAATTTTGAAAAATCATCGGCGTTTCCCTATAGAAAAACCTGAAAGTGAGTGACAGTTTGTTAATATTATGCTAACTTGCCAAAATCTTACGCTATTAAGATTAATACACTGTATATACCTCATACATTAGCGTTTAGTAAACAACTGGAACACTTTCTGATATTTCTCACTACATCTCCCAGACAGTGAATCACCTTGTGCAGCTTCAGCAGCCAGACCACTAGGGGGTGACTTCAGAGTGGCGCCATCCTCTGTCTGGTGCTGCATATCAGGAAATAACCCAGTCAGACCAACCAGCAACATAAAACATACTTATCACAGCATACCTATTACATATTCATATGAAAATTTGCATACAGGCTGACGTCATATAGAGGCATTTCATAAACACTAAGTTTTCCAGTTAAATATCTTTGAGCACATTTAAAAAGTGGCAGTAAAAGCTTTCATTTTTCCCTTTTTCGCTGTTGATTACTCACTTTCCATCGGCATCCAGTGTATACAGCAAACTAACATCTGCTGATTCTGTGGCATTAACCCCTTACATGCTAAGTCTTACATCCTTGCTTTACATCAAAGCTGGTGGTCCACTTGCACTTTGCTCAGCGTTTTCCGGGCGGCCCACCAGTGGTTTAACAGAGTATTAGACAAAATTCCACTTATCATCGCTCATTTTTCATCCACAGTCCAATTCACTAATTTTTCCTTCCTTCCTTTCTTTAGTTATACTTTGTAAATTACTTTGGTAAATAATTTTAATCCAGCACAGAGTCAGAAACATTTCTATAAAATCATTTTATATCAGGCCTAGTCATTATTTCCTTCTCTTAGTTGTTTGTAATGTTTGTCTTAGTTTATTTTCCAAAATAAAAGTCTCTGTGCATTTAAAATTTGTTTGAGGAGATCAAAAAACTAGTTAAAGCTTGTATGCAGGAAAATAATCTGGGTGGTCCGAGGGCGGACCAGCAGTGGGAAACAGTCAGTGGGGTGCCGACCTTATCAAATCAGCGGACCCATATATGCATGCTGTCTGGATACAAATGACTGAGAGAAAATGTACTTTATTAACTAAACTAATTTACAAAGTATAACTAAAGAAAGGAAGAAGGAAAAATCAGTAAATTGCACTGTGAGTAGAAAATGAGCGATGATAAGCGGATTTTTTCTAATACTGTACTTAACTACCGGTGGGCCGCTTTGTGTTCAAATGTCATGATGAATGGACCAGGAGAAATGATCCAAAATGACTTGGACAAACGTTTTGCTTCATTTACTTCCATTACAAGCTAAGGAAGTTTTTTCCTTCTCCTGTAAAGTTGCTGTTTTGGAGATTTTGGAGGTTTTGTTTCGACAGCAACAATATACTTCAGTTACTGCACTTGAATTATCTCCAGAATTTTAAAAAGTTTCACCAGAATAAGTGTTTTGAGTGTTTTTACAAAGTAAAGTTGTTCCATTTCCATAACTGTGAAAGAAATATAGTTGCTGCTACCTCATTGAAGACCCAACAAACTTTAAAGTAATTCTACTTAGCACGACCATTTCAGACTGGTCATCACTTCCTCTTCCCATAGATTAGTGTACAATCAGGTATTAGCACATACTTTATGAACTATGGCCTCTGACCTTTCAGTGTGGAAGAAAACAACCACAGTCTGAAAATCACCCAGCAAAAACATATTAGTACTTTTCTTTGTTATGGACTCTGACATGGAATACTTGTGCACTCAAGTATGTCAGTACTTCCGCTTCCAGTTCACTTCCACAGGCTACAGCAGATTCTCTCAGGTCTACCAGCTTTTCTCTACAGGTTTTCAGGATCATTGATTTCAGATACATCACTCACCGCTACAGCGTTAGCCTCTTTCTCCCCTACTTTGTCAGGGCAGGAGGCCTTCACACCTGCAGACAAACAATACAGTAAAATGCACTGTTTACTAATTATATAATAATGTATATTAGTCACTAAGTAATAAATCATAGGATTAATAGGCCTGTTTAAGGTGTTAACTGCATAATTTATATGTCAGAGTCACAATAGGTGATAATATAAAGATATAAAAAGTATATTAGTTACTAAATGATTTATAGTGGTTACCGAATAATATATAGTATTTAGTAAATAATTCATAGTGATTATTGAATAATTAAAAGTAGTTAGTAAATAATTTGTATTATTTACTGAATAATTCGTAGTGGTTACTAAATAATTCATAATAGTTACTGAATAATTCATAATAGTTACCGAATAATTCATAGTGGTTACTGAATAATTCATAGTGGTTACTAAATAATTCATAATAGTTAATGTAGAATTCATAGTGGTTACTGAAGAATTCATAGTGGCAACTGAATAATTCATAATAGTTAATGTAGAATTCATAGTGGTTACTGAAGAATTCATAGTGGCAACTGAATAATTCATAATAGTTATTGAATAATTCATAATAGTTACTGAATAATTCATAATAGTTACTGAATAATTCATAATAGTTACTGAGTTACTAAACAATTCACAGCAGTTACTGAATACAATAGTTCTTGCACTAAAAAAGTTGCTTAAAAGTTATTTTTAGTTTTACATGATTTAAATGTGTACATTGGCTCAACATGAATGAATATGTTACATCAATTTAATTACTATGTCTGAATAATTAATTAACTTACTTAATTTAAGTTAATGTAACATATTTCATTTGTGTGGAAGCGATCTACACATTTGAGTCACTTCAGTTCAGTGACTTTTTCTCTCAGTGTGAATAAGTCATGGTTATTACCGAACAGTCATAAGATTAATATCTAAGAAAAGCGTCTGGAGTTTAAATGGTTGAGAACACAGGAAGCTGGGAAAGCAGAGAAGATGAAAAAGCTCAAAAGCAGGGAGTGAAATACAGAGAGAGGAGGTTGAGCTAAATGTGCTTATTTCTCACTGTGCATGCTAGCAGTGAGATAATGACCACAGCACACCCGGACGAACCCACCCTCACCAGAGTCAGCGCTCAGCTCCTTCTGCTGCCTGCGGTTCTGGATCCTCAGCTGCAGAACTGGAGACAAAAAAGAATTACAATAAAGTCGTCAATCATTTGAGTGAATCAGTGAATCAGCGTGGACAAAGCATTGCTAAACACGGTAGCAGCACCCATCTTGAAAGCTGAATTCTGTCGGTACTTTAGTCCGTGTTTTTGGATAACAGTGAGTCACACAGTGTGAGAAACAACATAATCAAGGCCCAATCCCATTTCTTATTTTACCCTACCCCTTGTTTTTGAGTGTCTCCTCTTGGAACTGAGTAGTGGTTGAAATCTCCCCCTATAAAATGGGACCCTCAAATAAAAAGAGCATTACTTCATTAAGAGCTACCAGTGCTGCTCTGGAGGCAACCCTGCCTGTCTGCAGTGACAGCAGAGGAGGGTAAAGTTCAGCTCCTCACTGCTGGGCTTTAGTTACATTTAGGGCATCATATGACTTCAAAGAGGGGGGCAATTATTTATTATCACCCACCCCTAATTCTTCAGTGATATGAAGCTGAAGTCAGATATTCACCAGCTTCTTGTTCGAATTTTCCCTGTTCCACCTTAAATGGTGCAAAACAGAGGGCCAGGGCTAAGTGGTAGGGGCGAGGGGGGAAATGGGATCAGGCCCAAGTCTATTAGAGATACTGAACAACTCCACACGGTCTGAGACGAGTGTGTGGTGATTTAGGCCTGCAGTTAGCACCATGCTAACTGGTTGAGTATAAGCTTCTATTCTGTAGTTTCTGACACAATACACTCTTAAAAAAGATGGTTCTTCAAGGGTTCTTTAGTAAAGGCAATGGTTCTATTTAGAACCATGAGTTCTATAAAGCTCTATATAGAACCACTTCAGAAGTCAAGGGTAAACAATGCAATTCTTACATAAAACACATTTGTAAAGTTGAAAAATAAGTGATGGAGGCAGTAAGACTGTTTTAATATGAACTGCATAATAATAAAATATGTTACTATAAGTCCATCCCTGAGACAGAAAGGGGAATTCCATCATTTTTTCAAAATTTCTGAAATGACCTTTAGTTGAAGTCATTCAGATTGGTTTGGTGTGAAATGGTTCAGATGTCTTTACAGTGGTGGTGATGGGAACCAGGGGTCACCATGACTACAACACAAATATAGACATTTTATTTACTATCCAGAACCACCAGTGAACCTACACGAGTCTCATCAGTTTATATGGAATGATGATGGTAAAGTAGTGGAAAATCATCAAAACTAATTTTTTTGGGGACTATTTTGTCTTACATCACCCTGCATGTATCCCTCCACCATGAATGGATTTTAAAGGTCAAAGTCTTCTTAAAACTATCGTAAAACAGTGTTTTAGATATCAGTCAGTGAATTCACAACTATTTAATGTAGTAACTTTCTGTGAGGGAGCTTTTAGAGGTGGACGTCTGGTTCCTATCACCACCACTGTGAACAGTTCTGACTCTGTAAGTTTCTCTAGAACAGAGCGTTTCACACCAAACCACTCTGAATGACTCTGTTTACATCTCAACCATTTAATTAGGGAGAATTTTAAAAAGGTCAGTGGAGTTCCCCTTTAAAAGTGCTCATAGTTGCAGAAACACTAAATATGATTTCTGGCCAGTGTGTGATATCTTTTCCCCGTTAAGATGGCCACAACTATCAGGATTTTGTCCAATGCATTCTGGTTGGCTAGCTGCATATCTATGCATATGCACTTCTGTGCAGCAGGTTTTATCAGCTGCCCGCTTTGAGCCTTCGTTCAGTCAGCCATCGTCACTGGCATTCACAGCATTACAACTTTAAAAGTTTTTCAAGAGTTTTCTTTGAAGCACTGAGTAGCTTTTCATTTTGCATGTCAGTCCAACAGCCTTTTCCTGTCAGGGTAGTTTTTGGCCACGTTCAGCACAGGACTCTCTGACTGAGCTCTGCTCTGTAGGTGTAAGATTTTATGACTTCAAGCTCTGTAAAGTACACCGCGCCACTGAGGACCTTCGCAGGATCATAAATCAGTGATTCACTGGGCACTTAAGCATGCTCACTCACTTACAGAACCCAGTCTGGAATAAATTGCCAATTATCTTATATCACCCAGAAATATAATGTAAAAATGTAAGGTACCACTTTAACATAGGTCTACCCTTATAAAGGGTTAATAAATGGCTTAACATTAGTTTGTTCATGGTTCAAACACTTTGAAAATCATTAATAAGCAGCTCAAAAGTAAGATGTTATATCTAATGAATATGAATATGTGATTAAGCTGACAGGTTTGATGCTGACTGATGAAAACGACAAAGTAAATGAGTGAATGCGTCCACTATAAGGGAAACAACAGGCCACTGTAACCCTTTTAATTTGTGTGTTATGTAAATGCTTATTAATGATTTTAAGGTCTTTATGACCTAATTAATAACCATTAATAAACTCATATAATATATATACAAATAAATAAATAAATAAAAAAAACATTCTTGAACACTTTATAAAGGCAGTCTTATTTCAAAGTGGTACCAAATGTAATAAAAGACAAAAAAATGGCCTAATAAACTTCAGTAATGTAATACAAAGTGTAAAGTGTTAATGTAATAACATTTTTGTATGATAGTGTAATAACAGGCAATAATAATAACAAGCACAAGAGCACTGTAGAAGACCTTTGGTAACTGCTATTAAAAGTATTACATCAGCCATTAAATAATAATAATAATAATAATAGTAATAATAATAATAATAAATCAACTTGCAAAAATTATACATTTGCAATAATGTAATAAAGTTTACATTACTAATAAAAATAGAAATAAAATATCACATTATCAGTTTAGACATTGTATTACATTATTGAGCATGTTTACTGGGTTTTATTACATTTTTGACCAAGATAAGTACAAAACAAGTCCAAATCAAACTTTCAAAATGTTTATTTAAAAGCATCATGCTAGTTTAACCCAGGAGTAGTGCAGGCTGAAGCCCAGCTACACCTTCAGCACCTTCAGCAGAAAACGCTGGACAGACGCTCACAGATAAATCAAGTAAGATTAGCAGCAACTTAGTGGAGCTCCAGCTTCCCCTCGAGATCCTCCACTGAAACAAGCTGTATGAACAAGAGTGAGAGGCTACAATCACGGAGGAGCTGAACCACTGACTGTATATATGATATATAAACTCATCGAGTGTGTATATGATATATATGATATATACACTCATTGGGTGTATATGATATATATGATATACACATCTGTTGACTGTATATATGATATACATGATATATACACTTGTATACAGTAATGAAAATTGGAAACTATGTTGACTTAACATGATTTCTATGTTAAGGTTATGAATTATTGAATTATAGAAAGTAATACATTCATTCTGATTACCTTGTCGACTTTAACAAAACACACTGCTTTTTAAGTGGAAAATATTTCTTTATGGTCAAATTTAAGCAACTAAGATGATAAATCATGATTAACTACACCGAAATAATGAGATTTATCAATATTAACTACATTAAATAATACACTTCATCACAACTAACTGCACAAAATAATGTGATTAATGGAGATTAAGTACACATGAGCCAATATGATTAATCTCGAATGTCAACAATGCAATTCATCATGATTAGCTACACATAACTAATGCAGTTAATTGCAATTAACTACAGAAAACAATGTGATTAATCATGATCAACTTTACAAAACTAAAACTAAAAAACAAATTCACCTCAATTAACTCCACAAAATCATGTGATTAATCCCAATTATTGTCTGACAGCTCCAGTTTCAATACTTTTTTTTTCTAATTTTTTGATACTGTATTGAAATCATCATACACACTTGAGCAAACACACATTAACACCTCCGATACGGAGCAAACAACCTTCTGTTCGTCCTTCTTTCACTTACACACACACAAACATGAACACACGGATACACACACGTGTGCGCGTGTACACGCACACACACACACACACACATGCACGCACACAACACACACACACACACACACACACACATACATGCACACTCATATCCACAGTTACTTGGATCAGCAGGTGAAGAGAGGGAGGGGGTAACTATTTATCTTTCAGTATTTCTATTTCTGTCATCCCCCATCCCCCCTTCAGCTGTCCCTCTCTCTCCCTCTCTCTCTCTCTCTCCCTCTCTCTCTCCCTCTGTCTCTCTCTTCTCTCTCTCTCTCTCTCTCTCTCTCTCTCTCTCTCTCTCTCTGTCATTTCTGCTAAGTAATTTCTTCCTCTTTTCACTTTACTTTAAACATTCTGACAAGATCCATGAGCTTTTCCTCTCTGTGTTTTGTGTCTTTCATCCAAAACGGACACCTTTAGCCGAGTAAAATATTAGCCCAGTCAGCTAGTATTAGCATGAAAGCATGAATTCCCTACAAAGTGGAAATTCCGCTACAGCGCTGCGCGTGTCGGTATCTCTGTCTGGTTGTGAGTCAGCTTGGCCTGTTTGCGGCTTTAAAACGTTCGGGCCCATTAGAAACAGCAAGAAAAGGCAAGAAAAGCAGCAAGCTAAGCTAACGCCTGTCTCTAGAGCTCAGAGGAAAACGACACAACATGACAAGCAAGAAAACTTCTTATAAAAACTTTCTCAGAGAATCTGCAAAAACACAAGTCTAAAAAGCTGATGTTACAACCCATTCACACGTTCACTAGATGCTACAGGTGCTAATGTACTGCTAAACACACAGAAAAACACTGCCCAGTTCCCAATGGGCAAAATTTGTCTGGCTGGCCACATCCTTGGGTTTGTTCCGACCCAGTATACAGCTGGGTCCTTGGCCCAGATCTGGCCCACACACTGTAATGTGAGTAGAACTGACCAAGGTGGCACAAATCTGGCCCGACTTCGTTGTTGTTCCACAACATTCACACCAGAATTGGCTCAGAAATGTAGACACAAGGCAAAACTGGATGAAGCTGTCCAGCAGATGGCCCTATTCTGGCCCGCATCTGCCTGGTAGTCAACCAACCAGTGGCCCAGAATTGGCCCAAACCTGGCTGCTATCTGGAT